TCCCTAGAAGAAGCGACATTTGATCACAGACTTGCAGACCTTTGGAGGTTGGGAGGATGAAGGAAAGGGCACTCCAGCATGAGAGCTTAGGGAACTGACAAGATGCTTCGCCCACCCAAAGTCAAACTTTTCTGGGGCCCAGGGTAGCCATGCAGGTGCTCAAAGCTTAAGCCCTCTTCCCTGATCCCATTGGAGTTTTCTTGTTTTGAGATTTTATTTTTTATTATGGGCACCATCAAAAAAGAAAGATCCACAAAAAGAGGCACATTCCCCAGCCTGAGCAGGAAGGAAGGTGAGAGAAAGTCAACACCACTGAAATGAGGTTATATATATATATATATATATATATATGTATATATATATATATGGGGCTGGAGCGATAGCACAGCGGTAGGGCGTTCGCCTTACAAGCGGCCAACATGGCCGACCCGAGTTCGATTCCTCCGCCCCTCTCAGAGAGCCCGGCAAGCTACCGAGAGTATTCGATATGCCAGACACAGTAACAACAAAGTCTCCAATGGAGACGTTACTGGGCCCGCTCGAGCAAATCGACGATCAACGGGAGGGCCTTTACCTTTTTTTTACCATATATATATATATTTATAACACCAGGGAGCAAGCTCATTGTCCATACTTAAGGAACTGTAGCAAAGCTAGAAGTAGAACTGTCCACAGTTCTGCAGGCAGAGAAATCCTGGGTCAATATTTTGGTGCCGCCCCCCCCCCCCCGGTACTTACTCAGCACATAATGATGACATTAAAAAAAATTAATAACATAATCCTGATCGCACCGTACAATTTTGAATTTTTTCCTACTTACCAATTTCAACGGAGGATGTTTGCCTGCCCCTAAAATTGCAGCTCTGTGTAAACATTCTTAACGATTGCATGAGTTTATTATTTTATCCCACAGAGGTATACCAGAGCTTACTGAACTGTGCGCTTATTTTTAAGCATTTGTTGCTTTGTCAGATTCTGGATGCTGTGCCGAAGATTTGAGTGCAAATCCTTGTTCAGTAAGTCTGTGCTGCATTTGGGAATCAGACATTGGGAAGGATTCCCAGAAATGGAATTACCGAATCCAGGGGAAGGTGCATGCATTAGGTCACACCATGCCAGATTGCCTCAAGGATGAACGCGGCTGAGCAAGGAGCCAGCCAGGCAGGTGATGGGGCGCATCTCTGAGAAGACTCAGCTCCGGGCTGCAGAGCACAAACATCCGTCAGACAGGCCCAGGTCGGACCCTTGGCTCTGCCCCTTGCTGGCCTACTGGCCTCGAGTGTCAGTTTCTTAGACAAACAGGGTTTCACCCTCTCAGCATTTTTGTGGGTGGGGGAGGCGCTATGTTCTTTGTTCTGGGGATTGCTCTGTGCCTCTCTAGGCTGTTTAGGAACACCTGCCTGCACCCCCACATTCCAGTAGCAGCCCCGTGGACAGTGAAGCCTGTCCACACACATTACCCCATGGTCCCTGGCAGACAGAACCTCCCTGACTGGGAATGTCTGCTGTAAAATTAAAATTACATGGTGCCCATGGGGGCCACAGTGATAGTAGGGCGGGTTGAGCGCTCGACTTCCACCCGGCTGACCCGGATTCAGTCCTCGGTATCCCATACAGTCCCTTGAGCCTGTCAGGAATTATCCCTGAGAGCGGAGCTCTGGTGTCACTGTCATTGTCCTTTCGTTGTTCATCAATTTGCTCGAGCGGGCCCAGTAACATTGTGAGACTTGTTACTGTGTTTGGCATATCGAATACATCACGGGTAGCTTGCCAGGCTCTGCCATGCGGGCGAGATACTCTCGGTAGCTTGCCGGGCTCTCCGAGAGGGGCGGAGGAATCGAACTCGGGTTGGTCATGTTGGCTGCATGCAAGGCAGACGCTCTACCCGCTGTGCTACTGCTCCACGCTTCTGGGTGTGGCAGTGGGCACTGATGGCAGGATAGGTACTCGATCATTGTGTAACTGAAACCCAAGCACAAAAATTTGTAAGTCTACAACTGTACCACATGGTGTCTCACTAATAAAAAATTTTTTTTAAATGTGCACTGGACAAAACAAATAAATAAAATAATAAATTAAATAAATAAATGATAATAAAATAATAAATAAAAATAAATAAATATTGGGGCACATCTGCCCCCAAGCATCAGGCAAGAAACAGAGACCGAGGTGCCGGGGTTCCGTGCCAGTGCTCCGGAATGAGGGCTGCTGGTGCCATCGGGTATGGTGGCGAATAATGATGGTTCCTCTGCTGTGCTGTGTGACACAGCCGGGGCCACACAGCTCCAGGACACTTGGATGCTTCGGCTGAGGATCCAGGCGCATCCAGGCCCACTACTCTGAGGGGTCCCAGGGCTGGAAGGGGGAGAGATCAGGTGCGGGGGCATCATCTAGAAGCAGAATCGCTTCTCCCCACTTGCCCTTTCTCTCCTCCCCATGCTCAGAAGCCCTTCCAGCTGCATCTCCCCGGATGCAAGATCCTGTCCCTGAGGTACAAACTCTCTGGGGATGTGGGAGCACATTTCTGAGAGTCCCCAAGGTAGCTTCCTGGGAAGCAAGGGCCACCCGGCTCCCTACCCAGCTCTGGCTCCCGAGAACTTGCATGAAACCTCTGGCCGTGCCTGGGACCAGGGCCACCTCCAGGGACCTCGGGGCCAGAGCAAGTCTGCAGAAGCCCCCATCCCTCCACCTGGCAAGCTACCGAGAGTATCTCACCCGCACGGCAAAGCCTGGCAAGCTACCCGTGACGTACTCAATATGCCAAACACAGTAACACCCCCATCCATGTCCCCACTCTGCCCACCCAAGGATGCAGCTACACAGTGGATGGGAGCTTCAGCATCCTGCACAAATGGATTCCAGAGGCCGCGGGCCAGCTGGCAGGGGCTCGCATCCACCTGTGCAGACAGAGGGGACATGGCTGCGGAGTACATGCCCTTGGACCCTGGGGAAGCAGGTGGGAGCCCCCCACTTGCCCTCAGGGCTACGTATTTTAATTTTCCCCTTCCCAGCCTCAGTTTTCTCATCAGTGAAGTGGGTTTGTACTCAGAGCTGCCCCACTGGCCTGGGTGGTGCTCATGGGTAGTGCGAGAGATTAACTGGGCCCAAACCTTCACCTGCAGCACCAGCAGTGCTGTGGCCGCCTTCCGTATCCCCCCCTCCCCCAACCCCACCTGGTCCCAGCTGTCAGGGAGAAGCTGGCTCAGCTCTGCCAGGTGGGAGGCATGGCCTGAGCCCAGGCTCTTATAACACTAGAGCCCCAGACCCGCCCCTTTTCCCGTCATCGGTCCTGCCAGTCCAACCTCAACACTTTTCCAGCCTCAATGCCTCCCCGACCCCAGCCCACACCCAGAGCCCCTGCCCGGCAAGTCACTGCTGCTTTATTCCACAGCAGCTGATGGAAATGGCCGTCACATCCAGGCATCTTGGGCTGGTGTTGGACCAAGCCCCCCCCCCCCCCGCCGCCCCGGCCACCTGAGCCCTCCTGGTCCGTAGCAGGAACCACAGAGACCATGGTCGGCCAGTCGTGGATGGAGCACTTTCCACCATGCAGGGGAGGGTGGTGAGCGGGCTGGGGCTATAATAACGGTAGTCGTGGAGTGGTGCTTTCATCCAGGTGTTTATCTTTCACGTTGATTCACAGTAGCACTAAGACAAATGTTCCAGGCAGGCAGCGTTGGCGCACAGACCTGCAGAGGGTCAGCATCCCTCCAGCACGGCCTCGAGGACCCTCCTCGCCTCCTCCCCCAGCCCCACTTAGCGGGCTGGGTTCTGTAGGCCGGCTCAGCAACTGTCACCACTGGCCATTGTTGATGCCCTCAACGAGGCTTCTTTACTCGCTGCCACCGAGGAGAGATCACTCAGGATCCATCCTTCTCCCTTTGACTCATTCCGCTCAGCGGCTCAGCATGATCTCCCCGCCACCCACCCACCCCCGCCCCCACCCCCACCCCCAGCCAACTCACCGCGAACTGCAGGATGTCATTTTTCCTCGGCGCCGAGTAGTATTCCATTATGTTGGAGTGATTCTTTTCAGTTCTATTTTTAATTCTCCTTATTTAAGAAGAAAGACTCCATTTAGCATAAAGAGTCCCCAATACCTCTCAAACACTGTCATTTTATAACAAAAGAGTGCGGGACCAGAATTCAGATGTAAATTAGTTTCTCTGCTTTGTTTTTATTGCATTAACTTTTACAGTGACCTTCTCTGAATGTCCAGTGAGACCAGTTTTCACGTTGGGTAGCAAGATAACATTTCCCTTTTTAGATCTGTGGGTTTTAAAAACAAAACAAGTCCCTTAAAAATGATGCAGGGGTGGGGGGGTGAGAATGATGCAGGGGGAAGAAATGATTCAGGGAGGGGGGGTTGGAGAGATATAATGGGTACAGCAGATTGGGTGCTTGCCTTGCTTGCAGCTGTCCTGGATTCAATCCCCAGCACATATGGTCCCCTGAGTCCCGTCAAGGAGTGAGCCCTCAGTGCAGAGCCAGGAGTAAGCCCTGAGCTCGCCAGATCTGGACACCCCCCAAAAAAAGAAAATTAATAGACTAAAAGGTTTTCAAGAAAGAAAATGAGGGCCTGGAGCGATAGTACAGTGGATAGGGCATTTGCCTTGCACACGGCCAACCCGGGTTCGATTCCCAGCATCCCATATGGTCCCCTGAGCACTGCCAGGAGTAATTCCTGAGTGCAGAGCCAGGAGTAACCCCTGTGCATTGCTGGGTGTGACCCCAAAAAAATAATGCAGGGAGAGCCAGAGAGAGCTCAAAGGGAGACCCAGGTTCAATTCTTCGCCCCACAGAACCTGCCACACCCCAGCCCTGCAGGGCAGTACCGCACACCTGGGGAGCCTTTGACTGTTGTGCGGTGAATGAGGCCAAACTCTCTGTTCGGTGTGAGATGAGATGTGGCCAGAGACCCAGGGACAGCCTCCCTCCGCCTGGATTCTGGGGGACAGACTTCAGCGGCCTCAGCCCTGACATCTCGCCTCTGTCCACAGGTGACCTGGTGTCCCGCGCCATGATCCACCTGCAGCCCCTGCACGCCAAGCACCATGGCAACGGCACTCCCCTGCACAACAAGCAGGGGGCGCTCTACTGGGAGCCCGAGGCCCTCTACACCCTCTGCTACTTCATGCACTGCCCGCAGATGGAGTGGGAGAACCCCAACGTGGAGCCTTCCAAGGTCACCCTCCAGGTGGAAAGGTAAGCCCTGCCTCTGTCTCGGGTAGGGGCCAGCCAGCACCCCACCCCCAGCTCCACCGGGGGGCACAGGGTGGGGAGGTTTCCTGGGAGATTGTAGACCTCTCTGAAGGGGGCCTAGAGGAGTCTTGTGCCTTGAGATTGGAGGCTGAGATTGGAGGGTGGGGGTCTCAGCAGTGTGTCTGCGGGGCCTGGTTCTGTTTGGGATAAAATGGTCCGGTCACCGGAAGGGTTGGAGGAAGAGTCTCATTGCTGATGCAGAGGTGCGAGATGTGGAGGTGGAAGTGGAGGGGTCCTTATTTTTATTTGCGCCGACCTAGGGACTCCAGGGCTGGGGGGGGGGGGGGGGGAGGGGGCGGGGTGCGGCATCCCTGCTGTAAGCAACTGCTTGGTCAGAAATGGGTGTGCCAGGGGTCGGGGGCATAATCCTCTTGGAAAAGGCAAGGGGGGCAGCTGGGGGGAAAGGGAGAGCTTGCTGGAAGTGGGGTGCTCTCCCCAAATCTTGGTGCCTCAGTCTCCCCACCTGTAGGCCTGGGCTCCAGCTCAGAGGCTTGTAAGAGCCCCCGAACAGGAGCTGGAGCGATAGTACAGCAGGGAGGGCGTTTGCCTTGCATGCAGCCGACCCAGGTTCAATTCCCAGCATCCCACATGGTCCACGAGCACTGCCAGGAGTAATTCCTGAGTGCATGAGCCAGGACTAACTCCTGTGCATCGACAGGTATGACCCTAAAAGCTAAATAAAAAAAAGAGCCCCAGACCAGACAAGCCCAGGCTTCTCGGCACTGGCTGAGGCCCCTCACAGGCTATGGGGTCCGTCGGGAGAGCAGGCTGTGTGGCACCCCCCCTTTATCCAGCACCAGGCTATCACCCCACTGTCACCAGCCCGGCCTCTGCACGGCCCCTTTACTGTCACTGGGTAGTTGTGAATCCTGCCGGTCACAGAGCTGTGAGGTGCAGACCGTGGTGTCCAGTCCCCACCTTTCAGGTGGCCAGGGCCCTGGGGAAAGGGTCGGAAGGCTCCATGCCTCAGTTTCCTTGTGGAAGACAATGTCCTTGCTCGGGGTGCTGGAAGATTCCATGACCTGATGTGGGGGGGAGGGGGGTCTCTCAGGTCAGCACCGGGTCGATGCAGCCTTTGTTGCTGCCTGTGCCAGATGAAACAGCCCCTGATTTGGGCCTGGCCCGTGTTCTGAACTCTGTACCACAGTTCTGACGTGCCCCCAGGCTGCTGTCCCTGTCGGGGTGCCCTGGGGCTCCTACACAAAGGTGTCTCCGGCTGCGTAGGGGAAGGGAAGGAGCATGGGCCAGACAGACTAAAGAAGAGTCCAGCCTTGGGGCTGGAGCAATAGCACAGCGGGTAGGGCGTTTGCCTTGCACGCAGCCAACCCAGGTTCAATTCCCAGCATCCCATATGGTCCCCTGAGCACCGCCAGGAGTAACTCCTGAGTGCAGAGCCAGGAGTAACCCCTGTGCATCACCGGGTGTGACCCAAAAAGCAAAAAAAAAAAAAAGAAGAAGAAGAGTCCAGCCTGGAATGGACCAAGTCGGGGCCAGTGGACACTCCGCTCTCCAGACCGCAGCAGGGGACGGGGGTGCATTTCCATGAGCCTCACAGCCCCCTCACGGAGAGGAAGTGAAATGCGCTAAAGGCAGGCTCGGCGGGTCTCCTCCCCTTGCTTTCCCTTAGCGAGGACTGCGGGGTGCAGAGAAGGTTCGGGGTGTCTTAACCCCTCAGCCCCAATGGAAGCACAGTGGGCCTGTGTCTCCCTTCCACCCCCTCCTCCCCATCCCCCCGGGCGCACAAGACCCCACCCCTTCCCCAGCCAGCGGCGTCGCCTCCTCTGTGACCCCCAGAACCTTCTCATACCACCCAGCTCCTTCGTTTCTTGTCAGAGCACCACCCTGCGCTCAGGGATTCCTCCTGGCCATGCTCAGGGGAGCCTCCAGGGTGCCGGGGGTCGGACCTGGGCTGGTGACCACATGCGAGGCAAGCACCCTCTCCATGTCTTCTGATTCGGCCCCTGGTCGCTTGTAGTTCTGTGTGGACTTCTGCGCTCGTTTCTTGCCTGTCAGCTTCCCGAGGGCCGAGACCACCATGTGGCTCTGTTCCTAACACCAGGCTCCACCCTCTGTCAGAGGCAGGGAGTGAGAGATGCTTCTAGAAGGAGAGGGGGGGGCAGAGCTCCAGCCAGCTGCCCAAGGAGCACTTCCGTGGGGACCGGTCACGCCGCCCTCCAAGCTAATGCCTTCCGCTCCCCCCACACCTAGTCTCAAAGATGGGGGTCTCCTGCAGCCTGGTCAGTCCTGTCAGAAAACTGGGGGTCCTCCCACACTGCTTCCTCCCCATCCTCTCCATTCCTTCCTCCCAGGCGCCAACCACAGGCAGGCCTGGCTTCCTGTTTCTGTAACTCACGTTTCACTTCTCTGGCTCCCTGCATGAGGGACTCAGTACTGTGTGAGGGAGCCCAGCCTCCTTGCCGCCACCGCACTGGAACCTCCAGGTCCCTCTGCCGTGCTCCTGCCGTGCCCCTCTCTTGCCCGACACAGGCACCATTTCATTCGGGGGTTTCCATCTGGCCCTTAGAACATGTTCCAGGATGCGGCATGCCCTCTGGAGGGCCCAACAGCTAAGGGGGCTCAGGCTTCCAGACTCTCTAGAACAAGTTTTCCAAACGTTTGACCTGCGGGGGATGGCAGAGGAAAGCGAACAGGACCCAGAAGTGGCTGGTGCCGTTCATGGTGCTTTTTCCATTCCTCTTTGGGTGACCACGTCATCTTTCCCAGGGGGCGAGCACAAAACACCGCACAGAGCTGGGGCCTGGGCCTGCTCGCTCTGGGCCTTGGGGGAGGAAGGGCCTTGAAGCTCTGAGACCTTCAGCGAGTCCTGCCGCCTCACGGAGGGAGAGAATGGTCCTCCCACTGGGCCTGGTGTGAGCCGCAATTGGGATATTGGCACTAAGGTCCACGGGTGTGTCTCTCCTTCCCCCACAAAGTACCTCATCTGTCTACCGGGGGTTGACTCTGAGATGCTGGGGGCCATTGTCCCTGCTTGGCGGGATTCCTTCCTGTTCTTCCTCTTTCCTGATGGCCTGACACTGGCCTCTGGACCCTACACGGGAGAGGCAGAGAGGAGGGAGGGCATCTCACAGGTCTCCGTCAGGCACTCCCACAACTCCAACATTCCCACACACGCCACACTGTTCCCACATACCCTGTATATGTTCCCACATGCTCTACACATGATCCCACCAACTCCATACATGTTCCCACACGCTCCGGTCAGTTCCCAAGTGCACCATCCATGTTTCCATGTGCTTTACACATCTTCCCACCAACTCCATATATTTTCCCACATATTCCCTACATATTTCCACACGTCTCACATGCATTCCCACCAACTCAGGACACGACTCCACCGGTTCCGTACATGTTCCCACCAAATCCATGTATGTCCCGGCATTCTCTATACATATTCCAACAGGCTCTACACACATTCCCACCAACTCCATATATGCCCCCATGTACTTCATGCATGTTCCCACATGCTCTACACATGTTCCCACCAACTCTATACACATTCCCGCATACTCCATACATATTCCTGTATGCTCTACACATAACTCCATACATATCCCCACATGCTCCACACAGTTCCCACGTATTCCATACATGTTCCCAGATACTCCTAGGGTCCCTCATTCCCACAGACACCTTCCCACTTGCTCTATAAAGGTTCCCACGCACCAATTTCATTCACACTTCCATTAACTCCATACATATCCCAACATACTTCATACATGTCCCCAGATGTTCCATACATGTCCCCCACATATTCAATACATGCCACCACATTCTCCATCCACTCCACACCCCAAAACCTCCAGACATGTTCCCCAGGGGAGTCACGGTTCTGGTTTAGAGTTTTCTCTGTCCCTGCCTCTCTTTCTCTCTCTCCTCTCCCCTGTCTTCTCTCCTCCCTCTCTCTCTCCTCTCCTCTCCTCTCCTCTCCTCTCCTCTCCTCTCCTCTCCTCTCCTCTCCTCCCCTCCCCTCTCCTCCCCTCCCCTCCCCTCCCCTCCCCTCCCCTCCCCTCCCCTCCGCTCCCCTCCCCTCCCCTCCGCTCCCCTCCTCTCTTCTCCTCTCTTCTCCTCTCCTCTCCTCTCTCCTCCCTCTTCCTCTCCTCGTCTTTATTCTCTCTTCCTCTCTCTCCTCTGTCTCTTTCTCACTCTCTCTGTATGTCTGTTTCTGTATCTCTGTCTCCTTCCCTCTCTCCATCCCCCCTCCTTCATTGCCCCCAAATCAAGCAACATTCCCTCGACTCCCCCTCGATTCCGGCTGTGTCCTCTCTGACTCCTGCCGTCTCTCTGCTCCTTCAGAGCAGGGTGGGGCTGAGTGTTGTTTGCTCTTGTCCATGTCCAGCAGGCTGGGAAATATTTATCAGCTGAAATACAGATTATTCTGTGCTTGCCCTGCTTGGCCGGGGCGTTTGGATGGAAGCCGACGTGCCTGTCTGTCTCACTCTCCTGTGGGCGCCACTTGAAAGTGGCTGTGTTTGTTTTGAACCGGTTTTGTTTGCATTGTGGGACCTGGGGGGAGCTCCGTGCTAGTGTGAAATTTCAGTCACTGACATTTTGCCAGAACTTTGGGTACTGTTGTTTGAACTGCTGAAATCTCTTAGGTGCCTCAGATATTTTTTATTAAAATGAAAGCCCAGATAAATTTTGTAAGACGTCTGATGAGGTGATAGTTATTTTTCCAGATTTTCCAGATATAAATACCTTTATTTCAGTTCTAGGAGCCTAATGCCAGCGGAGGGGGCATTAGGGGGACTCCCAAACAGTGCTCAGGAGATCCAGAGCCCCCCCCCCAGGTGATTTAGTGGTTTAGTGCAAGGATCAGAGGATGTGACACCACTCAGGCCTTGCCTACATGTGTCGCCCTTGGTATGCCCAGGGGACCAGGTGGCGCCGGGGATTGAACCTGGGTCAGGTGCATACTAGTCAGG